GCTACCGTATTCTCCCAATAGGGTGATATAATTATAGGATGGTATACATTTACGAATACCAAATGTAATGTTTACATATCATCTATGTCAACAATGTGCAAATATCTGTTAGAGAGCGGTTGGGTTGATCCCAGAATAGAGCAAGTAGAAGACGGTAGCATTTTGTCAACATGCGCGGTTAAATGCCTCACGAATGTGATCCCGTTTTGCTGATATTGTTTTTCTGAGGTTCTGATGCTCATCTTTGTCAAGAGATGTCGCTTCTTACGTTGCTGACGTCACCATGTGCACATGCGCACCACTGACTGGCACAGAGGACTGCAATTAGTCCATTAGCAGCGTGCAGCAATGCGGAGCACAGAATTCCGGCTGGGTGTTGTGGGTTGCGGTTTCACATTCCGGATCCTATCCCGTGATACCCCTTGATGGTCCAAACATACGAAAATCACGACGAACTGTATCAGAGAAGACGAGGAACATGCGTCAGCAGGTCGGTGACTGGCCTTGCAATTCAATCGGACTGGCGGTCAACACTGCGGGGTAAACGGCAAATGCGGCCGAGCAAATCAGACGGAGATAACAATTACGCGGGAAGCAAGCTAACCAGCGGGCAGTTGTCATAATCTCAAGTAGTTTTCAGTGGGTTTTAGGGCACAGTTAGTGTACACCATGTGGACTGGACGGCTGATAACGGATGTGTAGCCATATGTTATTTGCTTCTTCGTTTTAGTCTGCGGAACCGGAGTCATGTTTTTCTATGTGCCTCGATTTTTTATATAATGCTCCTTTGCATCAATTGGTCATTGATGCATCAATTTCGCTTCAGTCTTCCGTCAGCTGTCTCGTCCCTTAAATGTAGATTACATTTACGCTTACTCATTAACAAAATCATTAAATGAACTCCGTGGTTGCTGGCTGATGACCATGATTCGAAACTTATGCACACTAATCATATGATAGTCCCTATTCAAAGATAGTATCATGACCATCTATTTGCGGACATTAGGTGCATCTATTATTGGACGAAAATTATTCAAGCATGGCTCGATTTTTATGGATGATGAGTTTAACACCCGAAATTTTCATATTTGTTATGTGTCCCATTTGAGATGAAACCATCTGTTCGAGGACTACGATCGCCTTGGCTACCGTATTCTCCCAATAATATGATTAAATTATAGGATGGTATAAAATCACGAATACCAAATCGAATTTTTGCTTACCATCCATGTCAACAGTGTGCAAATATCGGTTAGAAAGCGGTTGGGTTGATCCCAGAATAGAACAAGTAGAGGACGTTAGCATTTTGTCAACATGCGCGGTTAAATGCCCCACGAATGTGTTCCCGTTTTGCTGATATTGTTTTTCTGGGGTTCTGATACCCATCTTTGTCAAGAAATGTCGCTTCCTACGTTGCTGGCGCCACCATGTGCACATGCGTATTACTGACTGGCACAGAGGACTGCCATTAGCAGCGTGCAGCAATGCGGAGCACAGAATTCCGGCTGGGTGTTGTGGGTTGCGGTTTCACATTCCGGATCCTATCCCGTGATACCCCTTGATGGTCCAAACATACGAAAATCACGACGAACTGTATCAGAGAAGACGAGGAACATGCGTCAGCAGGTCGGTGACTGGCCTTGCAATTCAATCGGACTGGCGGTCAACACTGCGGGGTAAACGGCAAATGCGGCCGAGCAAATCAGACGGAGATAACAATTACGCGGGAAGCAAGCTAACCAGCGGGCAGTTGTCATAATCTCAAGTAGTTTTCAGTGGGTTTTAGGGCACAGTTAGTGTACACCATGTGGACTGGACGGCTGATAACGGATGTGTAGCCATATGTTATTTGCTTCTTCGTTTTAGTCTGCGGAACCGGAGTCATGTTTTTCTATGTGCCTCGATTTTTTATATAATGCTCCTTTGCATCAATTGGTCATTGATGCATCAATTTCGCTTCAGTCTTCCGTCAGCTGTCTCGTCGTTTATACGGTCCTTCAAAAACGTTTATTTTCTGCGGTTGACTATCTGTGTTTCCACCAGCCACTTTACCGTTTCTGTCTTGTGTAGAAATTTACTGGTCAATTGAATAACCTGAATTGTTTGACAAAAATATTTGTTCCGTATTTATCTGTTACTCCGACTTAGTTTTCACGTGTTTTATTTGCTTTGAAGCTTAACGGGTATTTTCATCCTTGCTTTCCGTTGTGTTGATTCTCTCTAACAGAATTGTGCGGTTTTGTGCTTGAATTTCTATTAGTTATTTGGTCATGTAAAGTTAGTAGATTGGATTGCACTCAATGTAACAATTTTGTCGGGTTGAAATCGATTTTTGTTACGCTAGCGCGCGGTCAGTTCTATAGTATTTGGCACTTATGTGTTTGGCCCACTTGCTACCTTTTCTCGGGCATACACTGTTTCGGAATAGACTGTGGGCATGACCCCGTGGAGTTGCGGCGTAATTCATTCCACTTGAAGCGATCCTTATGTAGCTTTGCTTGTTGGAGACAGGTTATTTCAGGGTCACTCGATGCAAGCAGCTCTTTAGTTGATATATTTTTGTGTTTTTCTATTTAACAGCAATTCCAAGAATGCGTTTTAGGCGTCCATTCTCCTTATGACGCCCATACAATGCCGTTTAATATTTCCTTTTTAGGTGTACTTTATTCGTTTTTCTGGTGACAGTCCTCAGCCTGAGGTCTACGGCGTCGATCAGCAGGCCAGCATCAACCGATATCGTTAGTTCGACTTCAGTGTTTTCATGTACATAATTTGGCGGTGATTTTTTTCTTTAATAGTTTCAGATGCTCGTAGCTATCTACCCTCAATGCCTTTCAGATGGGCTAAAATTGAATACTGTATATAAGACTGTTATCCACAAACGAACGTGGTACTTTGTTTTTGGTGGCTCCCGTTTTCCCTCTACTTATCCTCAGAAATTCGTTCTATATTAACCGACCGTGGACAGTATTCTGAATCAAAACAATGGGAAATTTTATTGAAACTGATGCGTTTTCCGCAGCTTTAATTTATGGACAGCGATTGGTATAAGATAAAGTCTTCTTGACTTGTGACTTCGGAACATCGCCGAACTATCAGCGCTTCTTTCATTGGCTGGTAAATTGTGGTTTATTTTAGTGCCTTATGTTACAGATGACACAAAGATGGGATTTAGCACCGATTTACGTTGGCAATTTGAGATTAGTACTAAATAGCATTTTGTGCACAAATGGATTCATATTTTCCAAATGAATTACACCCCGGTTCATTAAAGACCAGTTGAGGAGATTGAGAAACTTTTTCAAAAAACAAATCTGTTTTTTATGCTCCTAAGGATTACGCGGCAGCGCCATCATCATTTGTTGCCTCCGAATAGCACTTTTCCACTTCATTGTTTGGATTCAACTGACAAAGCTCACTTAGGGTCCGCTGTTTGCCTGGCATACCCCAAATGGATGAATATCCTAATAAAGGTGATTTTAGTTGCCTTCCGTTTTGAGCACATCAGCAAATGCAAAAAGCACGTAGTGACATGACGGCCGCTGTTAAGTATAAGTGAAGGAGAAAGTTGGAAGCAACACGAGCTAAAGGTTGATGGATAATGTATAGCATCGGAAGCTTGGTGGCTCCCGCTTTGGTCTCGTTCTCCAAGCGCACTACTTTCAAATGATCAAACATTAGTGCCAAACAGGAACCTTCGGGAATCGCAGTTTGTACTCATGGTTATCTAGAACAGATGCATTGTTCTTATCTGGACGTCAAATAAAATCTGTGTGCACAATACAACCGAAATTAGGAAACTTTAACTAAGAGAGAATTTGGATCGTCTCAGTGGAAACAGTCTGTATAGTTTAATTTTTCCCTCCTGAATCGTAACGAAAACAAATTGCAGTACGCACGAATAATATTTGTGTTGCTCAAGTCGCTTTTCATTACTGCGCTATAGTTATGTTGTGTTTTAACATATTTAAGAAATGAACGATCTTCCGGGACGCGCGGAAAATCCAACGGTACCCGCGTGGTCGTCGAAGATCAGTTGAAATGAATGTAGGAATGACATTCCCAGTATGATACCCACAGGGCAGTTGTGAGTGGTGTTTCGCAAACGAGTGCAACACGTCGTAACTCCATTGGTGGTTGTCTGTGGAAACATTGTCCAACAAATTAAGTAACATCAACAATAACAGATCTGCTTTCTGCTCAGGTTATTTCACTGACGTAGACACATATGCAACAATTTATATATATATATAATATACAATAATAAATTAAAAATGGTAGAAACGTACGAAAAACATAAACGACATATAACATTAAACGATAATCGTTAACATTAGCTATCTATTTAATTTTTAAAAAAATAATCTTATAATGAACAATTTGGTTATCAACTATTTTCTCTTAGGTGTTGACTGCTTTGTAAAGAGAAAAAATTAGTCCACTGAACCAAATGCTCAAAATTGAAGAAAAGCAATGGTTGGACCAGGGCACACCTGGCCATTTTAGACAGACTAATTTATTCTCGAAATAACTGGATCTGTTTAACTAAATGAAGAAAAATTTTGGGCCCCATATCGCACCATTTTTTTACACCTAAACTGTGTTCACAAATTCTCGTGGGAAGGCTAATCAATTGGTGCCTGTTGCAATCGCTAATTTATTTTGCCTTTGAAAACTCACTTTTCTGGCTGCAATTTAACTGAATCAGTTGTTCTTCGCGTCCAGTTGTTCATGTTTTGAGTTTTATAATCTCTAGAAACACATCGCCAGCTTAGACTGATGAAAAAACCGTAGCTCAGAAGCAGCGTTTGAAATTTAAAAAAGAATCTTTGTGATCACATTAGGCACGGAGGATATAGGATCACTTTTATTACCCAGGCTTGATTCAGGTAGATATGATTTTTTGTCTTTCACACGAGTCCTACTCTCAACGGATCTGCCGGTGATTAACCTCATGCACTTGTAAATTTAAAGTCGGGTATGTCGCATAGCGTCACCGTTCAATGTACAATCAGTTGATCGCATGTGTAAAAGAGATTATCTACCTGTTTTGTGTACTGTTTCGGCATGATTTGGAGCATTTTCCCTTGTATTTGGAATGTAATCGGAGGAAGGTCAGGCAGCCTTTCACAGTCGAACACGTAAACGTGGTGCATTGTCCTCCAGATACCCAGAACATTGTTGATCGCCATGTGAATATCTCCAGGCAGATCGATTGTGTTTGTGCCAGTATCCAAAAGCATCCTATGGTCTTCCGTGCAAAATCCCGAATCATCAATGAATATCCTATAAGATATGCAAAAGTTAGGAGGTAATTTCCGCACCCAGGCAGCTGATATAAGTGACTCGGAAATGTCTCCTGCTTACCAGTTAACCCTCGTTTCCCAATAAGGTCCCTCCGCGACATTTATGTAGGTCACAGGATCAGTAATGAGTTGTTCGAGATTGTCGCCCATCACGAATGTGGCGCCGCCACTGCAGAAGATAATAGCAAAATTTGGTTGTGAACATTTCGAAATTTTGAAGACACTGTTTTCATTCACACATATCTGTACCACATATCTGTCAACATTTTATCGGTAACGAATGGTTTTGACTGTGGAAGATGTCCAACTTACTGCTGAAAATAGAAGCCAAATTTTCGACTCATCAATCCTTGTTGATGCAAAGAATGAAAAAGAGGATGAGTGTTTTCTGGAATCACCGACCGCCGCCCTAATCCGATAATTCCGTCAAAGGGATTATCATACACGTTTTCATCACCAGCCATCACCAAGCCGAACGGTACGTTTCCAATAAGCATACCACCAAACTAGAATATTTATGGAGTATTCAATGCGACAGACCTACATTCATGTGAACGGTTGCTTTCACTCCACCCACATTGCCAGCCCCGTAACGCTGGTAGAAGATATCTCTGCCGACCAGAAGCGAAGGTGCCTGTGCCATATTCAGTAGACGTTTGCCAACCCACAGGTTTCTATCCACGCGATCCGAAGGTACCCATAATGATGGTGAACCGGTATCAAGCAACATGCGAAACACAGTCTGCTCAATCGTGATTGTGCATAAATATTGCGCCTAAAAATTTGAACCATGTGAAACGTTACGATACTTACCGAACCCCAAGGATACAATGGGATTCTGAACATTGCCCGCTCATTGCGTTCGAGTTTATCCGTATGGTCCGAAATTCTAAAGAGCTTATTTGATGTACCAGGAATTACTCACGGATGTGATGTAATTCGGGTCAGGAAACAACCAGAAAATGTGACCAAAATGAACCACATTGTCAGATTTTGCCAAATTGTGGCTTTGTTTCTGAAGCTGAGTTTTATTTCGTACAGGTTTGACAATATCATCCAGTCAGATTTAATCTGAGGAGCACATTGATCGGTTGCTATGGTGAAAAGTCAATTACCAATCATTGACAACCTGATCAGATATCGGATTATCCGGGCACACTGAAACACAGTGAGAATGTAGCCACATCTACTCCAGAAAATCTTCGATGTCATCGTTTAATTTCTCAGGGTTTATCATCCTGGTTTAAAGTGCAGCATCACAGCAGATTTTCGAATGCATGGGTTTTCACAATAACATGCCGCGAAAATTTGTTTTCCGAAAAGGTAGGCAAATTAACACAAAACGAAGACATTTGGGTCAAGATTCAATGCCCAAATTCACAGCGAATATAATTGGTACAGAGATGATTAAGAAGCTGAAGTCACCAACACATGGAACAAAATTGAGAGCCGTTGTGTAATGCCTCATGTCAGAAATGAATGCAGATTGGTAGGTCCGAAACAAATTCGGAATAAAGTGAAGCAAAATCTATCAAAATATTCGGTTTTTTTGTGAACTTTGCGCGCTGGTTAATTGTGCTTCTCATATGGCAGGCCTCAGATTAGATTTTTTCATTGTCAGGCCATGCCAAAAATTCAGGCAGCAATAATCAACAATGTTTAGCGTCCAGCGAAATGTATTAACAAATACCACAAGAACTCAGCCCATGTTTTATGATATGCAGTACATTGCAGATTGTTTTGTCGTGCTGCAACTCAGCATTGAGACTGCTTGCGGTAACTGACTGAACAACCATGGGCCGGACAACTGTGAAGCAACTTTTAATGTGCGAATTTCATTTAGTAACACACAGCGCCTAAACGTTTGCAGGTGCGTGGACAAATACGTGAAAAGAACACAGACGTTTCGACCACGTGCATTTTGTTTTTTTTGATTGTTGCATTTTGGCTTGGGCAAATGATAGCAAACTGCACTGAGTTGACGAAGAACTATTGCGGATGATTTTAGGGGGAAAACGGAAGGGTTTCTTTCTTTGTACATTATCGTCGAGACTTTAGTGTTCACTTGGGTGAATCAGCCTGTGGCATGGTGTTTGAGGGCTCCCGATTAAGCGACCTTAAAAGTCTCAATTTTTAGTCCATCGATGCGATTGCACAATCACATTGAAATGGCCTAAATGGTGGAATTAAGTTATGAAAATCTAATGCAAAGACGCGACTTGCACTAGGTCGGCATTATTGGGCCGAGTTACATCTACGTTGTAGGTGCCCCTTTATACACAAGCTTAAAAGTTGCGTAAAACTGCCTCTTTGTATTTGATTTCTAGGGCTCTGTGAGCAATTAGAACGTTAAAACTTAAAAAAAGGAACCAGGAGGTCACTTAAGGCTTGTGCTTTGCTATTCAATTTCGGGATATGTTTTGGGCTGTGCTATGTAGCTTGCCTTAAGGATAATCGGATAAGCCGTTTGTGTAATTTCATTTGACAGTTTACTTCGTCTCATTTTGATCAGAATTCCCCAACATTACCATATGTTCTTCAGAATCTCTGTAGCAAATACACCAGTTGAATGTCCAGGCAAAACTGCTGCTCATTCAAAGGCGGAAAACTAACATCTATTGAGTTGGAATCAGGAGATGATCGCATGCTTCGTATTCACACCCGTACGTTTAATATAGGAACAATTTTACTAGAGCTCAACCAAAACCCAACAGCATAATGCTTACTGGACACCTAGGTCACGAAAAAAGTTACTTTTCATCTCGTTGTTAGCGCTTGTATGGCATGTAATACTGCAATTCTAATTTACGGAGTGTTGCTAGCGTTATCTAATATAATAAACATATTGTAAGCCTAATCTTTCCTATTTTTTTTCGTATACATTTTCCAAGAGGGTATTTTTCACCGTATGCTAATCAACCAGCGCTACTCCAAATAGTGGATATTGTATGGCAGGCAAAACGGCCGTTGTACCGAACGATAAAACTAGTTCGTTGTAGGCAACCATGCAGTAGTCCCACTCCGAAATGAGTGTTTTTCTCTATGCCGATGACGATGCCACCCTCGAAAATAAATTTTAGTTTCTAGGTCTAGGCATTTTAGGTCATCTGTGTCCCAAGATAATGATAAAAAATAAATTCTTAACCCGGTCGGCGATCACACGGACCAAATGTCGCCCAGGATAAACTGGCAGACAATCATGAACGGGCTTCCTTATGATTCTTGAGCGCAAATTAAAATTGTAACATTTTAGCGGGTACCGGTTGATAACTGTGGTCGCATCGCCGCTTTTGGCGCTACCACATACTAATTATACATCGTTTGTTTTGCGGATGCGAAGCTCGGCAAACACAGAACCAACCGCTCCCTAGTTTGTAAGCCTGTGTACTGAACGCTGATGCAAACTCCAGAGAGCTGCTCGAAATCGTTTGATAGGGCGGCGTCTGGCTAGTGGTTGTAACAGTAGACGGAGCATTCGACACGGTGTGTTTCCACTTACTGAAACCAGCGCAAATAGATTTGCTCCCAAGCCAGGATGAAACAAATCCAGCATTGTCAGTTAAAACACAATGTCTTTACTATCGGGTGAATTTTATATTAGTGTCCTCATACGTGCTGTGGTATTTGGAGAGTACACTGGTGGTGTCAATCATTTTGACCTGCAATTGTGCTATACTTGGGATTACGGAATGACAAGCATGCGTGCATTCGTGAATTTTTGCAAAAACTGTTCCGACTAGCGAGCACTAACAACGTAGGGCAATAGCTTGTTCACACTTGTGCCTTTTATTGTCTGAGGTCATTTGACCGATTTGGCCATACGTGCTGTCTATATTCACGTTGGAAGGTTCAAAAATCATAAATTTAGTTGGCTAAGTTATCGGGCTAATGAGTGACTTTGATAACGCACGGCTGTTGTCTTGTAGAAGCTTGTCATGGTTATTTCATATCTCATATTTACAAGTTGTAAGAAAAGCGGGACAGCCTTCGATTCACGAGATTCACGGCGGAAGATGCCTCAGTTTCTGCACTTCCGCAGTAAGTGCAATTATTTCTACATTGTCTCCCATGGCTTTTCCGAGCTATCAAATATAATTGTGGGAAGATTCCGTTAAAGAACGACCGGAATAATTGTTCAGAAGCAATGATTTATCTCCGACAATACTATCAGCTGGAAAGTAAATTTTACGCATCAGTCATTACCAGAACAGTGAAACGCTCACAAATGACCGCCCCCGACATCATGGGGAGAAAATTTGAGCTGATACATAAATTCCATGGCAGGAGATTTCATACATCCCGAAAACCAGTTCTAGTGTCCTCTCTTCAGGTGTGTTTTCCATGAAAGTTGGCATGATCCTTTTAGATGTGCCTTCCACGAAATCGTCGATGATAGTTTAAAAAATTCTTTAATTCCATGCAACTAATGATATATGGAGGCATTAGTCTATATACAATGAGTAAGTACTTTTGAAGGCTGATGACTGACGGCACAGCGCAAACTGCACAACCAGTGCAGGTCACAAATACATACATGACTGCGATCTTCACTCAAGCTCACCAGCCTACCTGTTGCACCTTACCTGGCTTTCATTTGTGGAGGGGTTGTAGCCATTTTGTGGCAAGTCTGAGTCACATATGCGCACGGTTCACGGTTGCAACCCAATTCTAAGAAGCGTACTTTTGTACTTAGGAAACCTACGCACAAGGCGGACGTTTGGGTTGCATTGAGTGGGTTAACTGAAATATCCCAGGTGTATTTTGAGATGTGCGGATCTTGTTCAATTATCGAAGTTTTTTCCATTCTGTCATCCCTACTACTACTATTATTTATTTTTGAAGAGCATGGTCACAAACATAAAAAGTGAGTGCAAGCGATGAATGCAAAAGAGTAACGGGTGAATTTGGGGGAAAGAGAGAAATGTCTCATTCGAGATCATGACAAGGGCAGTGCCCCACTGATAATGCTACTGAGAAGAATGCACTACTTGTATCAAGGTTTGAAATCGATCGGTATAACGTACAATGACTTTGTTGCAAGCACAAAGAAGCGCGGCCGTTTTAAGCTCACACGCCAAGCCAAACTATATTTGTCCCGTCTGCATTTTGGTTCATGTCATGTTTAGAGACGGCTTTTACAGCAGTGCTTGCTATGCCTTGTTACGATCTCCGTGCACCTCTTATCTACTGTCAGGTTCAAAACCTGATTGTGGGATGAATCGGCCAATTTCGCCACAACTCTGAACAATCTAGGAGTGTTATCGGAATATGCCATTTTGATACACAATATGCGATGTTTCGACGACAGTTGATGTCAATGTAGTGATTTTGAGCCAAGAGCTTATCGGGCTGAAACAAAGAATGTGAGCCTGCTATTTCGAACACTAGGATAATACTCAAGAATCACTAGTCAGAATCACCACCTCTCATTGGCTTCGGTTCGTAGGTTTCCACTCATGGAGCACATTGGTCGTTACGACTGCGCGTTGCACGCGCTGCTGTACCGTCTAGTTGAAAAGTTCCGTCGTAAAATTAATAAATTTGGTCTCAAAATACACAGGTCACTCGACAAAACAAGTGAAGCAGGGGCGTTTCAGAAAGCGTCAATAGTACACGCGGGCCGCTGTCTATCCAATCTCATCATAAATGCTGCGGCACTATTCAGGAAAAATAATTTAATACTATTTTGTAGCTTCAGACGTGGGAAGTGACAGTTGTGTATCGAAAATCTAGGTCCCTCATAGAGATCACAGCCAAAAAATGCGCATCCGTGAAAGTCTCCTGGACAAGGAAGTGTGGTGAAAAAAAATTCAGCATTATGTTACACATAATGCGACCCCAGAAATGTTGACAGAATTTGCAGAGATATCGCCATGTTAGCCCGAGTCTAGATGGAATGAATATTTAGGTCGTGAGCAGAGAAGATAGTGTTGTCTGAGTTAATGCCATGATTTCAAGCAGTTTAACTTTGCAATCAATGCCAAATCATTTCAAGGGTTTTGGTCCGTATGTTTTCTTCAGAATTTCCGAAAATTCTTTCTTCCACGGTGCCCCAACAGTCCATTCCAGGTGTTCAGAATATGCTAATTTTTCCCCCTTTATTTGGTTGAGAGTGATCCAGGTAAAATCTAGACATAGATTTCACTGCACAAATGAGAATCACATGTAAATTGACGACACAATTATAGGGCAGCATGGTTGCTTTACGAACAGCCGAAAGATTTGAGGCGCGCTCAATTCCAGCAAACCAATAAAGCGCGCCCTAATTGTCAGCATGTAACCGCTGATTTGAAGTTGTACCAGTTAACACTTATCTGATGACGCTGCGGAAAATGGGCGACAGATAATTGTACTTTTGTTCGATTTATTCAATGAAGGCATCTCAAAACGCTCATGAACACTAACAACATCGTGCAAACCTGCTGCCAACTTGGTTTTATTTGGGTTTGCAATAAACCAAGTTCCATTCGTAAGCCAGACATGACACACACTCGTGTATCGTATTCCTGTAATTGGTCAGGTACAATTAAAAGTTAGACTCAATTACTCCGAGAATAAGCTGTGAGTTATCGCCCACCTGCTGTTTTTGCCGCATGCCACATATCACTTGGAGCTGACAAATATGACTAAGTGTTTAAGTGCCCCTATGTTCTGTACACTTATTAGCTTTCAGTTGAACTGCAGTCGCTGTCTACGTTTTACGAAGGTATCGCACAACCATTACTTAACTGCCAGCCGTCCTTCTTTACTTTAACGGCCAATTTGAATAAACGTCTTCTCATGTGATTCCGTAACTGAGCAAAAAGTAACTGATTATCTCTGTATACCCACTGTTAAATTGCCCCAGTCAACTAGGCTAACCCCCGGACACCCCGCTCGCCAAAACGCAGTCTCACCCACCACCTTTCAGGCATTGCACTGAAAACTTTGCCGTGCCACTATGTCTACTGATTAACTGGCGTTTAGTGCAAAGCACTGAAGATGAGAGTGCATGTCAGCTGCGACCGCAAGCGCTGGCCTCTTGCAAATTACATGGATGTAATGAATAATTTCCAAAGAAAGGCACAATTGTAGTGGTGAGACCTCTCCGCATACCATGTCGGCAACCTCCACTACCATTTAGTTGATGCATCGGCCAACAGAAATCCAAATTTCCGAGTGGCTATTAGGTGTTCCGTCATCCATGTGAATTGTTTTTATTTAAGAAAGGACATCACTTCATATCCTAGGTCCACGGCAGTCGAATTGCAATTTCGAACACAACGAATGTGCGTATATTGAGCTCCCTGTGGAATCGTTATGAAGGACCGTCATTGGCTTACCATTATTCGTAGAATTATTGTTCATTCAGCCACTCGCAGGACAAATTCAAAAGTATTGGAAAGCAGGTCGTAAATACTAATTTCCCAAATTCTCCTACTTCAATTCGGATTTTGGATGACTCCGAGAACTTTCCCTTTTCTACTATTTTCGTCATTTCCTTTTTATTTTTTTCCATCATTATGGTCAGGGCACTATCTTCTAGAAATTGTTGGCATCGTTAGTCCGTCCGCAGTTTTCTATCTAAAACAGACTGTCTGACTTTTTTGTCAAGTACATCAGCCCTCATCTGATCAACGCCAAATACCTTGCGTTATTATCAAAGACACCAAAGAGCAGTTTTCGTTAGTCTACTGACAGAGGAGTGCCAAAATTATGAAGCATCGAAAATATATTGTGCAAAAATTTCAAAAATGGGCTCTGAGTAATTGATGGAATGAAAATCATACATTTTTACCACACTACGTTTGAGAAATAGTGGGTTATTGTTAAGTACCAATTGTATCCAAGGAAGTATACGACACGATGGGCCGGAAGCTCCAGACTGGGTTTCCAGTAACTTGATTTATTCAAGATTGCATCCTGTATTTAAAAAGCAAAAACATCAAACTATTCTCCAGTAATTTGCCTATGTTTACAGGATTTGGAAACGTTTTAGGACCCTGTTACATCGATAAGTAATGCCTGGTATCCTAGCAAACATTGTTTCGCGGTTATTTTACATAAGTCCTATGGGGGTTTCCTCGCAACTAAAAATGCAAGAAACGCCCACCTTGTAGCTATACCTTTTTCACCGGGAAGCAATATTGATAATGATTGTCAGGTCAGCACTGTAGTCACAAGACTAGCCTGCCTAGACAATACTTCTAGCAGATTGTCATTTGTATAAGGCAGTATGAAAACTGGTGTAATTTGAAAACGTGTAAATTCTCGTAGCAGTTGAAATGCATAGGCATAATTCATTATTAAAACTGGTCTAATTTAAAAAAGGCTGTTAATTTTCGTTGCGTTTAAGATGCGTAGGTCCTTTGACTAGGCAATCTAGGCGCTTCTTCACCAACCATAGTTTCCAAAAAAAGAATTTTTATTAGTGAAGGCCCGCTGAATTAAAAATTATAATCTAGACTAGTAGCCATGAATGAAACATGTCAAAAACGTGGTTAGTTTTTCTGCTTAGGATCCTCGCGGCAGCTCTTTGTAGTGGTTATTTATTTCGGCTACATCAACTGTTTCTAATACATATTTATTCCAGATTAAATTTGACCCACTGAACCACGCTGAAAACGGTAAGACGGCGCATAATTATTTTTGTATTTTTGGATGGCTTTGTGTTCTTGCCCTGGTGTGGCCATGTTTCTTCCTCCTTTGGTTAAAAAATAATGGACTTATCGCTGCGTGCCGCAAAACCAACTTTACCAGCGTTGTCGTCAAAGATCAGTTGGAACGAATGTAGAAAGGACATTCCCATGATAAGTCCTACAGGGCAGTCGTCAGACGTATTGTAGAAAAGGGTTCTGCATGTAGTTTCGCCGTTGGTGGTAGTCTGTGGAATAAAATGTTCATCGTTTAAGGAGAGAGCTGAGAGAAAAGACAACCATCAGCAGTAAACGTGAGTGCATCCAACTAACATTGTATCAATTTTCAATATGCAAATATTTTTATTTGTTTCATCCAGGACAAACTAAAACGTCATTCCACTTTTGAGTGCTTTCAAATGGTACTGTCCCAGAGGTGTTCATCTGTATAATGACTTCTCCAAAAGTTGTTATCAATTAGGACGTTTACAGTATAAAATTCATGCATTCAATTAAACAAGGCACCGCCTTTTGTTGCAGCATACCTCCAAAAGTTGTTATCAATTAGGACGTTTACAGTATAAAATTCATGCATTCAATTAAACAAGGCACCGCCTTTTGTTGCAGCATACCATATATAGCGGGATTAAAATTCGGAACCTGTCGACCTCGAACACGTATTCCAAGTGGGGACAAATTAAAAGCTTGTCTGAATGTCGTTCTCATTTATATTCAATATAGGTGCCTACTTAAGAAGTTTTACGCAATTACTGTCTGCGATTATTCTTCTGAGTAGCTCTCGGTCCAAATGAAGATGTACCTTAGCGACTGCGATATATTTAACTCCATCGAAGATGCTGGAGATTGCAATAGTCGGCGTGCACAATTTAGGCAATCTTTATTATTTTTCAAACGGATATAAGAATTGATGCCTTACCAGACTTGTGTATTGTTTCGGCATAATTTGAAACATCTTTCCCTCTATTTGGAACGTAACTGGAGGTAGTAATGGCAGCCTTGCACAGTCGAACAAGTATACTCGGTCGACTCGTCTTCTGATTTGAAGTGCTTCGTTTATCGCCATGTGAATAGACGCGGGCAGATGTATTTCATGAGTTCCAGTATCAAAAATCATTCTATGATTCTCCACGTAAATTCCGGTTTTGAAAATGTATATCCTGCAAAACGGAATTGAACATTAGAGAATGAAGAAAGCTTCCCGTCAGGTTACCGAGCTCAAACATAAAGGTTCCTTGCTTACCAACTAACGCGCGTTTCCCAGTATGGACCATCAATAACGTTTACGTAGGTCACATCGTTAGAAAAAATTTGCTTCGCATTTTCACCCATCCAAAATGAACCACCGCGACTGGGAAAAAGAGATGAGGAATGCGATTGCCGACGGTTTAGTGACATTGACAACGAATATTCATACACATTTCAGCTCTCATAAATGAGGATGAATTAGGATATCGGACTTACTCTTGAAATTGGAAGCCAAACTTCCGACGCATTTGCATTTGCTGATGAACTGCATAGAGAAGAGGTTGTGTTTGTTCTGGAGACATCGACCGACGCCCCAGTCCGATGATTCCATCATAGGGATTAACAGAGACTTTCTCTGTAGCATCCATTACTAGACCAAACGGTGTGTTTTTGATAAGCGTATCGCCAAACTAGAATGGTTTCAAGTCAGTCGTGACATATAGAGCTCACATTTATGTCAGCTGTTGCCTTTTTCCCACTAACATTGCCGATTCCGTAAAGCTCGTCGAATAATTCTCCGCTTACCTTCAATGAGGTGACCTGAGAAATATGTAGTAGACTTTTGCCGCGCCATTGCCTTTTATCCACCCGATCCGAAGGTACCCAAATCGATGGTGAACCAGTATCGAGCAACATTCGAAACTCAGTTTGCTCAATAGAGATTTTGCATATATATTGCGACTTATAATGTAAATGGTACAAACGATAGGAAATTTACATCACCCCAGGGATACAATGGAATTTGGAACATAGTCCGTTTATCTCGCTCGAGTTTATCTAATCCTTCCGAAATTCTACGAAAGAGGTTTAGCGTGCTGAGCATCACTCACAGGTAGGAAGTGACATTTGCCAGGAGGCAACCAGTGAGGGCGATTAGGATAAAATCCATGAGTACAACGTTCCGCATTTCGGGTTTTTCTAACGCTCCTTACAATATGTATCGTAGACTAGATGATATTCCAAAATGGATTGGATTAAACGATTACCCAACCACCTTCCACGTAGAAATCGCACTGGTATATCGTCACAATGGAATAAATTTTTCTTGCATGAGAAATAGACCGGAAATCTCGAAATCTGTGTGTAACCAAATACCATTTGAATATCCTAACTTACGTTCCGCAAATTATGCAACTTCAGATGTTAATTGTTCCAGTTTCACAAACCTGTTATAGGTCCCAAAATTTCAATACGTTTCTGGTGCGCAATACAGTGGTCGTTCCAATAGGTGCCCATAAATACGCTCACCGCATTCACGACATGCAACGTCGATAGTTTTACCGCAATTGAAAGATTATTAATCGCAATCGATTGTGGAATCTTGCAGTTGCTGCAATGTTGGCACAAAAATATTGGACAAATGCCTAGTATGAAACTACGCATATGAGTCACTACTTAATATTCTGCGTTCAACATATGTAACACAGGCATACAATATAGGTGAGCCGTTTCCTTGGGTGCAGGTCTATTTGTTCTACCTGAAATTGCGAAGTGATTTTAGAACATAAAAGTTTCGCAACGCCAATCTAGAATGTGCAGTGAATTAATGTCATGTGCGTTTGGTGATTTGCCTGTTACAATCCGAGTGCGTACAGTCTTCTCAACCACAGTGATATAAATGTTTCATCATCGAGCGTCGATGGCTTTAACCATTGATCTTTTAATCTCGCTTGAGTGTACAGGTGACGAGTATCACGGCAAAACTGGAAATCTGAAGCGCAGACACTTACCCCTGGGAAATTATTTTGACATCGAATAAAATCAACCAGAATCTGATCAAAACTAGTCACTTTGGAAGGCTAGGCCGCGTGTCAACCTTCTTCAAGGGGGTATTTATTAGTCAATTCAGGCCTATACAGAGGTTTCAAGGGTAGCAGCCAGTCGCTCTCAGACAACTTAGAGATTAACTTTATACAAGCAATCTTGCCGAAAAATAATTTGTGTAGAGACCCTTCCTATATTTCACCGCGATTGGCAGACACAGAAACGGATCGTATGTGTAATTTAATAAAAAATATTTTTATCTCAAATTGTCGAGCGCCTAGTGTTGTTAATCATTTTGTTAAATGTATAAGTTGAACTTTTTCCTATTTTGTCCATAGATTGTAGATTGGGCGGTGCAAAGGCTAAAATAATTGTACCCGGAGGTTTAGCAAAATTGTCAGGGTAACAGTCGCCTAATCGTCTTCAGAACACAAACTCTGGGTTGGTTTACGGCACACAATCACGGACCAATCAGAAATTTAGCTGCTTAATCGACTCAACACCTATCCGCATAATTTGGAAATATTTCTGTGGACTGAAGGGATATACACTTGAGCTGAACTGTATACTTTGTGATATGCTACTCTAGTAGGTTTCTCATCCACGCGCGATAGGTTATCCTAGTGCTACGGGAGACCAAATGTCAGTTCATTCTTTCGAAGCTGATTCAACAGTCCACACAACTGGAACATCCACGAGATATTTTACCCATCAACAATTTTAATAGTTCCAGCTGACCCTCGTATGTACAGAATGGTTGCGCGAAAAAATCTAATCACAAAACACATACTTTTTAGAAAGTCGCCTCTATTTGATCCGTGCACCTGAAACCAGACGTATGTGATACCGATCGAGAAGTTTTCGGGAAGCCTAATATCCTGGAATATTGTGCAGGTAGCTGGTTGGTTGCATTTTACTCAACGCTATCAAAGTCTGCTCATTTGACGTAGGAAAGGCAGATTTTGATGAATTCAAAATAAGAATGTTTTTGGTAGTTTTATGGGATTTTCTAATTTTTTTTCAACAATCACAATAGCAGCCTTACTTTGTGTAGACGCTTATCAAGTATTGTTGCACCATAAATACAATCACAAAATTTTGCGAGTCATAAAATGTAAAATTTAGGCAGCTTGGGCTGCGTATGGGCACCAAAACGAGGAATGTGATACACACAAGGAGTTTTAAAGAAAACGCTTAACAACACCACTGAAGCCATGATGGCTAATCCGGATCTACCAACTTAGCCCTTGACATAAAATGATTTTATTCAATTAAAATGGTGGAACTGATGCAAGCACAACTATGTCGCTCAATTTGCAGTATGCACGTGAAGCAAACGGGCAGTTATCAGTTTTCCACTGTTTTCAGTAGCTGTCAGCATAAGTATCTCAAGCTTGGCGTGGTCAACGGCGACCCTCGTGGGAATCTATTAAATGCACCAATAAATAAGATGCTCTCACATTTTCCAAAATCTGGAATTTAGCTTCTAAAATCTTATCTTTTGTTGTTGCGAATCCAAACTGTGATGGTTTATTCTTTCCACTATCTCCTTCAAACAAGATATAAAGTAATTTCATGGGAACAGCAAGTTTACTTAGTCCGGATGATCGCAAGTAAAAGTGGGCGGCTATTTAAATTGCGCGCATTTTGGATGTCTAATATTGTGAGCGTAGTCACATTCATTCAATAGCTTTTAAGAACATACCGGGGTCAAGTACAATAGTCTGGAAAATAAGTTCCCGTTGTACTCACACCGTCTGCACAGTCAGCTGGTTCTACCAACCTAGCTCACTAGTTAGGTTCCTGAGATATATTCACGAATATCTGCAGCAAAATTATTTGTACTGGCGTTTGGTACCCTTCCATATTGGGGATATCCTGGGGCAGACCACACATACGAAAAGACGAAGCCCTTGACGCATAACATAGATTCACATATACATTCCGTCATATTTCACAATTTAAAAAGCGTGGCACATGACGCTATTGCGTTGAAGTACGAAGAGTAGGCCGTTTAAAACACGTGATGAAAATTGAGGTGAAAGGGATACATATTCCTTGGCACAGAAGAAAATAAACAAGCGAATTTTTGTAAAGAAAAATGTTTCGGCTTTGTCTAGGGTGCTTTTGATTCGTATTCCAAAGGCTTTCATTTTATCGTCTAAAGGATCCACTCTTCTTAGAGCAATCTGAACGCATGGGATGGTGATTGGAGGTTTTTCGCTGATTTCAAGTGGACTCACCGAACACTAACAGTCCGTTTTTCAGTGTATCTGACACTCACATGCCTGATGAGCGCGAAACTATTAGCGTAAGTTCATGAAGTTCTGAGGTGAAAAATGAGGTTCATTTCTGCTGACTATGGTGAACGAATTACCTACCTCCAAATTTTGGGCGCAACTGCTCCGGGGCGTAAATAATCAAATACCAAGTTAGCAAAATTAATCCAAAACGAAACATTCAAACAACATTTTGCAGGATAAGTTTCGAATAAGTTTATTCACATTTTGGATGTATATTTTGTTTCTTGTGACAGACGTAAAAATGGGCATGAACCATAAGCAGATGTGGACCCGTAATCCAATTTACCACAACTTCGATACTTTAATGGTAAAATACCGTTTTGCACACTCCAATTTCACGAGTTTTCAAAAATTGCTTGAAAATTTCCATGGTTTACACATAACACGGTGGCGAACATCAATGTTTTCGGGTTCGCTTCATCAAGTTAGTACATATTTATTGATTAAAATAAGAGCGAAAAATGAAATACGCTACGAAGATTGGGTAGTAAAATGCAAAACGTGGAGGCACGAACGATTGGTTGACTGCGCTTTTCACCCATAATATCACATCCAGTAAGATGCTGTAAGACAGTGAAGAGGGCTGTTGAGTGACTTGGCCGGTTGATTCATATCACACGACCAAGGCAGACTCAGCGTTCGTACGAAACGTTTTTGGCAGCACAGTTCCGGGTTTCGCAGGTCTAAAGCGACTACCTCAGCTGCGGTCAAGCTAGGCCGTTGAGTAGATACTGGCAGTCTATTTTGCACGCGATAAACGATTTGAAATGGCTCATTTGTTATGACAACATGCTCGGTGTCAATCGGTGGGATACGATTGGGCTCCTGGCTGAGCTGATGAGGTGAGTGGTATTCCGGTAAGAGAGGTGCTTGAGAATTCTCCCTGTAAGTTGACGTGTCATGCGTCTAACAGACGTCGCCAAATAACAGCATGAGGAAGAATACACAATCATATTCTGGGTGAGTACTGCCATCCTGTCTTTGAGGTTTAAGCTGAGCAAAGGGTTTGTTGCAAACCAAGGCCGCAGTTTTGCAGCCGGAAATGTGAGTTTTAAGGATTAAAACAAGCGGCTATTAGCCTTTATACGCCTTTTTACGGTAACGAAATATATTGGCTTCTTTCCAGCGATCGCGATTGACGTTTTGATAGGGTGGTCGGACATTTTCTTGGTTATAAACCTCTCCGGGTAACCATTGGCCCGTAGCACGTTAGCAAAATGCTGTAGCTCGGATCCCAGTGCATCAGCAGAGCTCGGTTCGTTAGAGTTTGAATCAGGGTTCGTTTCCGCCTCACTGGAGCAAACCTCAGGAAGTTTGTGTATCGTCCCGTCCACTTGGGCCATCTGTAGACAAACCTCTGATTTGAACCCGTTTAGTCGCCAGGGGTTCTCCATCTGGTCCCTGAATGGGCAAACTGGGGCTTGTTCAATTGAATGGGGAGATCAGGAGCACGCACGTTTGTCGATGGTACGTAGATGCTACTTTTATGGTAGTATTAAGCCGTCCCGAAATGAATGCTCTCTTGACCAACTTCAACCAAGCACATACCCCTATCCAATCCCACTGAACTGTATTCAACTGAATCCGGGAAATTTCTGACTAACTTAACGTCCAAGAAGTGAAAAGCGTTGTCACTTTCAGTTTCAACTAAACAGCGGCCCTAAAAGCATGCATTCAACAGAATGTATATCGAATGATTCCCTGCATTAGCCACCCAAGATCCCGAACCGTGTTGGCTTTGTTAAGCTTGAAGTTTGATATATAAGTTTAGATAGCTCGTCCTACTTCATTGTGGTTTGATACGTCACATGCGACCGTGGCACAAACCAAAGTGGTTGGTTGTTTAAGTATTCTAAAGAAAATTGACCGCGATTTAATCGGCCAACTAAACAGTCCCGTTGCATTTTGACTTTTACAGCCGGCTTGCCGTTCCACCCGTCCTTCATGTCGAAGCGAAGCTGTTCTGCAGCATTTTAGCGAATTTGCACTCGGTCAGGTTTGTTGTTGAAAACATTTGATAGATCAGGACAGATATCAGAAGAATTCAGCCCATTTTGTGGGTGGTCCTCAGCGACACTGAATAACATCAAACGATTTGAGGACACATGAGATTACTGGACACGCGGTTAATTAAATTTTTTCATAAATGTTCAGACATCTTGTACCGTAGCACGGTCGCTTTCATCCATTCTGTGCTTGATTACCACAAGGGACTTTATTAGCGAGAGTATTTTGGAAATTGTTCTTATGTATTACGAGCCGCTAGCGGAAACGCAACAAACATGAAAAACCGTCAGCCTAAATGGACCGTCTGACTTCACGATTTTTCATCTTGCTTTGCAATTTGAAAAATGCTTTGTTTTATTTTACTAGTTCTAACATTGTCTGCACACGTCTGTGCTTGCTAAAGTTCTCATGCTCACGGTGTATTGGGAATCATCTCGTCTCAACCCATCAGTTTACAACCCTAGAAAACATTATCTTTTTACTGGACGATTGAGAACAATAGTCCAAATTTATTTGCTGTGTCGCTGTGCCAAAATGGCAAGCTGTGCACAAAACGGCACTTAAAATTCATCACTCTCGATAACTGGTATGTATAGGCTCCCTTATGCACGCTATGTTTTACTTGGTACTGCATTTATAACAAGTTGTAAGTAGACCAAACATCGGGGATACCACTGCAGCTACTGAGTTTAGTATTATGACTGGGACTGCACCTGACTTTCAACAAGATCGTAGTAAGTCCCCCTGGTTCGGACACGCGGTCGCGTCTCTGTTGCCTGAGAACATACGAGAAAGCCCACGAATATTCGCCAGTAGATGTTTCCGGATGCTCTTGCTAACATCCGCCAGTTAAAGGAACGAAGTAGCTGGTGACACCACTGAACATCCATTTTACATGAACATCCCTACATATGGAAAGAGCATGTGCACATGCAGGACAAAAATGTCCTGTATCACAGGCATCCTAACAAGACGGTTTTGGTGTATTCTAACAAAATTGGGGTCTTTTAAACCGCGACATTTGCACACTGGATTTCACATAGCTACTTGCACGAGTAAATTAAACGAATATTGAATGTGAGTGCCTCCGTCCAAGTCAAAATGAAAACTAATAAGTGTGGGTTTCAATACTTTATCGTATTTACGTGTCGTTTTCTCTCGTGGCCGTTGTGTTTCGTTTTCATCGTGTTTAAGAAATGGAAGACCTTCCTGCGCGGGCAGCAAAGCCAACTCTACTCATTTGGTCGTCGAATATTAGTTGGAATGAATGTAGAAATGACATTCCCAGCACAATACCCACAAGGCTGTTAGCGGTTATGTTGTAAAAATGAGTAGTGCACGTCGCAACTCCACCGATGATCGTCTGCCGGAAAAGATGCTTGAGTGAAAGAACAGGTTATATTGAAACATGAGACAAAAGAATGCATACCTACATTCAGATGTATCTACGACAATGTGACAACTATATTATTTTCTGCACATAAATTTATACATATATATATATATATATGTTATTGTGTGACAAATATAACTTCTATACGGACGAATGACACATAGAGGAACGAACTTAACCCATAGTTGCTAATAATTATATATATATATATATAT